TTCATTTCATTAAGCAGTGAAGCAATCGTCAAGCTGCAATGTAAGAAATCTAACGCGACGTGTCCGCCACGGCTGTTCCGTTAGAGAGCCATCCTAACCTATAAGCGCGAAAGAGAGTTAAGGTCGCCATCGCGCGTCGAACGATGCATGACGTCAGCTCGATATTTATGAGCGCGGCCGAAGGAACCATCCAAACACACCGCGAATCGTACTCCAAATAATCCTGCGTCCCGGTCGCGACGCCTTCCGCAACTCTTCGCGAGTCTCTCCCGATGTCGACCTCTCCTGCCTCAAGCGTTCAAGGTCCCCGCGGACACTTTTCACGCGCGCGCTTTATTGATCGCGGCGGCCAAGAGTTCGCGAGGCAGCACGTGGCCTTCGGGGTGATCCTCGGACAATGACACTTGAGTGGTAACCACCCGCGAAACCGCCGCTAAGAACCCCGTATGCGAGACGAACGGCGTCTTCCCGCGTTTGATAAACAAGATAAATAGCTGAGCCAACGGGAGAGAGAGAGAGAGAGAGAGAGCGCGGCTCTCAGAGCGAGGTTCGCGAGGGAGGAATGATTCTGCGATTTGAATGAATTGCAGAACGATGCATCAGTTGGTTCGTTCACGGTGCCGTACCGTCGTGGCGATGTCGCGCTGGCTACGGAAATAGAGCCAGAAAACGTTTCCTCCTGGTGCATTATTAATTCCGCTTTGTTGGAAATATGGCTGTCTATAATGTTCTCGATGCTCGATCGTATTCGTACGAGCGCGCGGAAAAGAAAGAGGCACATAAATGACCTTGTTAACGAGACGACGTAGAGAAAATTTCGATGAGGCGCGATCGATCGTCGCTGGGGATCGATAGAATCGAGACGTTATCGAGGCCGCGTTCAATTCGACTTGCGCGCGCACGCAAATCACTGACGAAATTCGGAGCAGCGATTGACGAGATCAATATTGCCGGGCGTCTTCGATCAAAGCCTAAAAGTGTACGGCTTTATACTCTTAATTGAGGATACTTCGGAACACGGCAGGGGTTTCGGTGTTGCTGCTGTGCTACTACGAGGTAGTATCGAATTACGGAAGGTATACGGCACTTGGAAGGCATCCCAATCGCGAAAGTTCACGCCGCGATAACTCGACAGACAAATCGCTCGTCACTATCGATCGCGCTTCGAGCAGATCTTTCCGTAAATTCGTGCGAAATCATCGGGCAAATCGTATCGCTCTCAATAAAACCGTGACGGGCTATGACTCACGAACATGACATACGTCCTGCATCAAGACTAAAGCGAAAAACCAATGCAACAATGTTATAAATAAGCTCTGCGAACGTTGCGATACGCGATGATATATTAGTGCGGAGCGGTGTCTCTCAACGAGATGTGTTGAGCACCGAAGAAAATTATCGTGCAGCAAATTGTCATTTGCTTTGAGTCAAGGCTTCGAGTCTTAATTTCACATGGGAGCGAGTGTGTGTGCGTGGACATAATAGTGAAATAAACGTGAACACCTGCAGCCGAAAGTCAAGATAGATTCAGCTGCTGACATAATTTTCCGCGATAAAACTCTACGCACGGCGGCGTATCACGTTCTGGAGCATGGAAAAAATCCAATGGATTATCTTTTCAATCTTGAATAGTCGTATAGAATTTCATCGAGTGATCTCTGGAGCATTAATCATCTCATTCTCTCTGTCTTTTTCTCTCCCTCTCTCTTTCTATCTCAACTGCGCGACTAATCGCTAGAAAGGCGGCGAGCCTCACCTCGACGAATAACGAGACAGCGATATGATGCGAAACGATGAATATATTCAAACTACATCGACCTAACGGACCCGATGAGCCACGAATGACTGCTCCGTTTCTTTGTACGGCCGCCATGCGGAGAGGCGCGCGGCGTATAGGGGTGGTGGTGGTGTGACAAGGTCCGACTACTATATTGATCACTGACCTTTCCTGCGGCCGAATGGCCCGAAGAACGTGCCGTTCTTGCCGATGACGTTATCGTCGATGTACTTCAGTAACTTGGTCGTGTCCTCCCCTTTTTTCGCGGCGATCGGCTTGACGGGGCGTGGTGGCACGACCCTCTGATTACCGGCCGCAAAGACATTGGTGCTGGTAACATTGACAGCAGCAGCAGCAGCAGCGGCGGCGGCGGCAGCGGCGTTGGTGGCGACGGTGGCGGTCACAGGGTTGTTGAATGCTACGGTAATGGTGGTGGTGGTGGTGGTGGTGATGGTGTTTGTCGTGGTGGTAGTCGTCGAGCTCGATGCCGCGCTCGTCGTCGGCTGGGTGGCTTGCAGGCCGGAGCAGCAATTGGCAGCGGCGGAGGCGGCGGTGGCATTCGAAGGACACGTAGCCGCCGCCGTCGTCGTGGTCGTCGTCGTCGTCGTCGTCGTCTCCTCCGCCAGGGAGTTGATCCTGCGCTGCGAGCCGCTCCAGCTCTTGCCGCAAGAGATCTTCACCGAGCAGCTCATCCTCTCATAGTATCAATCGCAACAGATAGTACATAGTAAAGTCAGTATCGCGCGACGCACTACGGTGCAGCGGTCACATGGAACTTCCGGGTGAGACCCGGCTGAAACCCCTCGAGGATCGCCTATTCCGTTCGGCGCATCCCTATGAAACGCACGGGGTGGGTGGACCGCCACGTCGACGGTCCGTCCGCTCGATCGCACGTGTTTGTACGCGGCTCCTGTCTCCTGGCTCGCGCTCACGATATCACGGCAACTTTCCCGACCTGGTGGAACGAGGAAAATAATTTCCCTCGCCGAAGAACTTTCTTCCTCGACCGCTCACAGCGGCCCGCGCGCACCGTTTTCCCGTCCGATACCTGAATTATCCGTGCCGAGCCTTGCGTAAGGATATCGGTGGTCGCGTCTGTCAGGTGAACGACCGGTCCTACGGTGCCGCACGCTCTTCTTCCCTGGAACGATCTTCTCGGGTGCCTCCGCAGTTATCGTCCACGACAACTTCTTCTGGATCGATTCGCTTGGATCGTGTGAGTGGCGTCAGCTTCCGCGCTGGCCGATGACAGTGGAGCAGTGTGTGCAGAAACACGCAACACAATCTCCTCGAGTGCCGAGGCGAGACTGAATGTCTGGTGGACGACGAGCTGCCCGGTTCACCAATGACGTCACCCGGCCACGCAGGCGCCTGAGAGTCTCGCCATGCTGCAGGCGCATCTTCTCTGGGACGAACGCGCGTTGGACGATATCGCGGGACTTACGGCGCAAATTGCGCGAGAATCCGCGCGAGAGAGATGACTCCTTATCAGGCACCGAGTCTGTTTGTCAACGATAGTTTTTGGAGCACGCGGCGGAGACGGCGGCGTTGACGGCGGAGGTGGAGGTGAAGGAGGTGACCGCAGCGCCGATAACTCGTGGGAGACCCCGCGGAGATGCACTCTCTAGCCGCGAACATGGCGATACTTCGGAAGTCACGTAAACCCGATGTCTATTCAGATCGAATTTTAATGATCGGTCGCATCGCGTGGTCATGCAATTCAGATTACAACGCCGTTTTCACGACGCGATGTTGCAATGCGACGCGACCGAGTGATCGATATCTTTTTATCATTAATTTTTTTTTCTTTTTTCAACGAAAGGGAAAAAGAGAGAGACTAGCATTATGTGTGAGAGAGAAAGAGAAGAAGAGGGATGGGGAGGGGGGGAGAGAAGAGAGAGATGCAATTTAAACGTTTCCGTTATAGACTCCGTCGTAATTTAATGGCTTTCGCGAATTGATTTTCCTTTTCGTTTCTCGCGTAGAGTGGTCAACTAATCAAAATAAAGACGACATCATTTAAACATCGTTGTTTTCGTTGAACGAATAACGGTCGCGTCCAATCAGTCAGGTCGTATCTTTGAATCTCGACCTTGTGAGTTATGTGACTCTAGGTTCAGGAGTCTTCTGCGAATCGGTGTTTTATCAGAGGAAAAGCGCGATACGATTAACTCATTTAAAATATTTAATCGACACTTACTTTATGCCATTCTTGTTATCGTACACGTCGCCGCAATAATACGACGACAAATTGTATCGCAGCGACGCAGCGCGCGTATACTTTCACGAAATCAACAGATAATGACGCGGTACACATGTTTATACCATCGACAGCTGCTCTCCACGTGACACACCCGCGACGAATGTCTCTTTAACAGCTGAATAATTATCGAGCAACGCGCGTTTTTCCGACGAATAGATTATCACGTGGTCGAAGTCAAACGTCTCGGGAAAGCTCGCGCGAACGTCAACATCAAAATCACGCTGTATTGATCGTAAAAGTCGTAATTATCGCGTGTAAAAGGCGACTCGAAAGAGCCGTCCGCCCGCAGCGGAGGAATTAATAAATCGAGTCAAGGGGGAATTGCAAACACTCCGAGACAATTATTCTGCTTCTTCATTAATCCTGCAAATTCCGTTGAACTTGCGAAGGTCCAACAAAGAATTTCGAGATGCAATATTGTACAGGCTATTGTCCTAGACTGAGAGAAATAATCCGATAAAAAATTAACAAACAGATATTTCCGATCAAAATATCGACGAATTTTTGTTTCCGAAGACATTTGATGAGAAATATCAGTTCAAAATTTTTACATCGTTTTATCTGATGAAATGCCATTATGATCGAAAATATCCGATTAAATTTAATCGGATTTCCTATTTGGATATAAAAATTGATCGGAATTTGTTCAGAAATATCCGTTCGTTAATTTTTTATCGGATAATTTCTCTCAGTGTACACGAAGAGAATATTATAGTTCTTTTTCGTATCAATTCTTTTCAATTTTACTGTATTTTTAGTAGTCCAGAAATAGACTGTCAATAAAGTCTCGTTAAGGAATATAATAAATTTCGCTAGAAACATAGCAGATTTCACTGAAAAGAATATTCCGCTAAAAAATTAACAAACGGATGTTTCCGATCAAAATAACGATGAATTTTTATATTCAATCAGGATATCCGACTAAATTTAATCGAATATTTCCAATCATAATAGCATTTCATCAGAAAAACCGATGAAAAAATTATAAACCGATATTTCTCATTGGATAAAATTCATCGGTACTTTGATCGGAAATATATTTGTTAATTTTTATCAAAAAATACCCTTGTACCTTGACGTCACAATACAATTTGCACGCGTTTCTTATTTTTTTGATTGGATTTATTTTGATGTTAAGCTGAGTCTCGCTGTTGAAATTTAACTTACAGCGCAAGTTTACTCAAGTGCGAATTTATTTAATTACTTTAGAATCAATTGTGGAGTTGATTACAATCTGTTATTCACTGCTTTTTCCTCCACTTGAAGAATTATTTAATCTTCGATTATGTCAATATTCCGAGGCATGTAACCTTTATTCAATAAGTAACGTTTTAATTGCGTAACTTATTCAGATGGAATATGTGCGATAGGCAAAGATTAAATTAAAACTCATAACAGTAGCTTGTGTAACGTTACACACTGAGATTTTCCACTGTGGTTCTTTAAGTTTGATGCAGCATTATGATGCGGAAGTGAAACTTTGACTCGTGACTCGCTGATGACGAAGTATCTTTTTCGGAAGCCGTAAAGTGTGTTTTATGCACTTCCGGCGCGCGAGAAATCTCACGTAACATAAGTACCGCGAAATTGTTGTTTATTATTTTTTACAACTCCTTCTCTAGTCATTATTAACATATCGGCCTGCCTCACAAATCTCACAATATGTTTTGATGATATAAATAAAAATAATAATATATACAACAGATACGACAAAAACCAGCTATAAAACTGCTAATATATTGTCATCCTTGAACACACAGATGAGATAAGATTGGACAAATTAAAATAAATTGATGGATATAAAAGATTTTCTCCCAACAGAGATATAAAGATCACAATGACGAGGAAAAACTAAAAGGAAAGGCGAATACGCATGCGCGATACTTGCAAAGGCCGACGTCTATTTTCCGCCACTTAGGCCAAACGAAGTCTGACGTTACGCTTCTTTAAGTACGACAGATGGGAATTGGAAATTGTCGTAACGTGTCGTATCATCGCGGACCTGCTACCGTCTTCGAATCGATCTCGAGCTGCATTATTGCAGCAGCTGATATTGATTAAACGATTAACGTCTCCCGTTTGCGTGTTCTGTCCTATTGGCAAGCTCTCTCGTGGTGAATATCGGAAATAGCTCTCTTTTATTAGACACGAGTCAGTAATTTTTATAATTACAATATAACCAATAAGTTATCGAGCGCGTGAGATTGTCGTGTGCGCGACCGTGCAATTGATCGCGCTGTTTAAACGCGCGTGAACTAAGCGGAATTGCGAGCTGATAGACTTGCGGTTGAAGCGAATCACGAATGGTGTCGCACGAACGAATCTACTGCGCTTGCACGCGATATCCCATATCCACAACGAGCAAACTCTCCATGGTAACGAGCAGTGTGGACTGCAAAACCTTAAGTTCGATACGCCCGAAAAATCTGGATATATTCTTGCTGTTCGCGTCGTGTACATAACCTGGCCACAATAACGAGATAAGTCGCGCTTCCCGGACTCCACGCGAAAGATATCCGCGATGCTGAAATTTCAACACGCCACGCCGGAAGATCTCAAGATCGCCGCGTCCATAGAACGTAAACGACGACTGGAGGAAGCGAGGAAACCGCGTATCTTCGATCCTCGCGTCAGGAAGATCGGAGTGAGAATCGAATTCCGATTGAAATTCGTCCCTGACTCTCCATCGCGATTACTTGTCACTTCACTTACATTTTGCGCACACTTCCTAGCTTCGATTGGATTTATTTTGATTTCAAGCAGAGTCTCTAGTTATTGAAATTTAACTCTAGTTATTGAAATGTAACACGAGTTTGCTCAATTGTGCAAGTTTATTCAATTACTTCAGAATCAACTGTGGAGTCGATTTGTTTCCGAGTTGGCTTTATTTTGTCGCTCCGTCGTGATACAAGGTCGAAATACCGCAGACGTTGTTTAACGGAGCATGACGGTACTGATCTAACACATCTGAGAAGTCGGCCGCTCCAATATGTAACTATTCGCGCGATTGTTTCCCTGACATTTGCAGATAGACAAGGCATTCTTGGATAAGCAAGTCGAGGAAAAGAGGCGGCAACGCGAGTGGGAACAGGCGGAAGAATGTCAATTGAACGAAGCGCTCGTTCGCAGCAGCCAGCTCGCCGCGGATCTGGAGAGGCGGCAAGAGGAGGTAATCGAATGCCGTCAATGCCGTTAATTACGCGGGAATGTCCGCACGGTGCAGCTGGCGATTTTCGGAGTCACGTGCCGCGTGTCGCGATAAGAGCGCAAACAAACGATATGGTGCACATAATCAGAAATATAATTGTGAGCGGCATAGTTGCTATCACCTTAGTTATCTTCGCGTAATACTAATGTGTATAATTGATAAGACACAATCACTTTCGTACATCAATATAGTTACTACATTTTGCATAACTATATCAATGTAGTTGACCCACTACGTGATTCACTATCCAATACAACCTGGTCCGGTCTGTATTGGCTTTGGCAAAGTCAGACCCGACCCTGGCCCAGATCAGTTTCTTGTCAAGACAAGAAAGATCTGATCGAGTCTTATTTGATCAAAGTGAATGTAGATCAGACCGGCTTATATTTGACAATAAATCGGGCCGAATTGGATACTATTGGGTCTTGATTTCTGATAGGTATTTTGACGGTTTTGTACGTTTCTTTGAAAAATATTATACAATATATAACGATTTTTTTTATTAAGAAAGTAAATATAATTAAATTAAATTAAAATATTATTAATAAAATTAACTCTAAGTAGTATTCACTGCTTCAAATGCTTTGAAAAATCGTAGAGATCAATATTCATCTTTCAGTCAGCGCTCCAAAGCGTTCATAGTCAACACCTAGATAAACATATTTTATATAAATATCGGGATCCTATCTGCAACAATCACATAATTAATTGTTCTATACTGTACCACTGAAAGAAAAAAATAGTTGGAATAACTATAATCGCACTATATATTTTGTAGTTCGTTGTGGCCTCAAACATATATTTATAGTTCATCTAAACACGAAGATATAGCAGAATGAACACACATTTATAGTCACCATCTGATTACTCTATGTGTATCGTAAAGCACGCTTTGGGAATATAGTTACATGTACCCATATTTTCCAAATATTCCAATTCTATTGACTACATAAAATAGTTAATTTCTCTTACCATTTAATATTTACTACCTTGCTATTTTGCTACCTTACCATTTTTTTTCAAATAATTATAATTCTTGGTAAAAGTTTTACATGAGTCAGTTATTTTATGCTTATATTGTAAATATTACAAACATTATGGTGACATTTACTATAAAAAAGATATTCCTAACTATAATCTTTTTACTAAACCATTATAGTTCCAAATATCATACATTTTTCTCTCAGTGCATTGAATCTGAATGGCACAATTGGATTTACGTGTAGGCTAACCATACTGTTTTGTGCCGATCGAACAGGATACAGGATTCTTCGTTTTCACAGGACAGGCGCAGAATACACAAGAAGATCGAATCGTACCGGCGTGAATATCAGAAAGCCGAGGACCGTCGAGATTACGACCTGTACGACCCCGAAGCGCTGAGGAAATCGCTCCCACCGCGAGTGGATGACGATGACCCGAGCTTGGGACCAGCGTCTGCTCAGAAGTGCGTAAATAGTCCGATTAATACTGTCAATAAAGAGCGATCGGCGAGGAGAGTACCGGAATGGTTTATCTCCGAGCTCCCGAGAAGATAGAAACGCGCGCGGAACGCTCGCCGAGCGCGTCGCATTCTTCTTTCCTTGTACTCGCAAACCACTCGTTCTTCATTTTTATTGAAACTATTATGATATTTGAAAGCTTACCGTGAGAACGACTCGCTTCTGCGGTCTCTAATCCGCGATTGCTACGCGCAGTGTGTCTTCTCTTCTCTTCTCCTCTTGGTACTAACGTGCCTAACGTCGCAAAAAATCCCGACGAGGATAATAATTTAACCGGCAACCTGCTCACCCTGGCGCAATGATAATGAGCGTAACATTGTAGCGAGGTGGAACGGTGAAATATTAACGGCTGCGTAGGTTCGAGGGCGAGGATCCCAATCTACACGAGCGGCTGAAGGCGCAGAAACAGCAGATGCGTTGGTGGATCCACAGGCAGAAAGAGGAGCGCGAAGCGGCTGGAAAGCTGCAGCGGGAGATCGAGGAAGCCTATCAGGAAGTCATCCTCTCCAGGGACAAGCGCGCGGCGACGCTCGCGCGAATGGAGGAAGAGTGTCGACGAAGGTTGAACGAAGCCACGGCGAAGTTTAATTGCGCCCTGGTATAAAAAATACATACCTTTCTCATACTTTTTACCTACACACGGAAGAGGAAAAGAAGAAGAAGTGAGATTGTATTTATAATTTTTACAATGAAGAAACCCCACAACTCGAAGATGCAATTTCATACATACGTACAGTGGGTTGCAAAACGGTTTAGACACAATGAAGTTAGGGGTTCGCCGAACTGTCAAAATTGAGAGTCACTACCGACAGAGTTGTGCAATAATAATATAGTTAATAATATAATTAAAACACTAAATAATAATAATACTAAAAATAATTGAGAATAACAATAATTAACGATGTAATTATTGTAGGCTCATTTATACACACAATAATGGATCCATTTAACGTTGCAAACGCTTCCAAATGCTATATAGACTAATCATAATCTTCTTTTACGCGCTCCAAAGCATTTGTAGCTTTAAATAGATTCTACGTAATGGCTTGACTATCACTTTTAACTGTACAATTCTAAAGCGACAGAACGAAGAATTACAATCGGAATTAAAATCGATATTAATTCACATTACTGCGGTATTAAGGACGTCGTTCCTTTCGGAGGTCGTAAACGTCTCTGACACGATTGACCTTTGCGTCGACGGTCGAGAGAGTAAAGATAATTGCAAAGTGCTTAATTATAGTCAACTGCAAATATACAACGAGACAAATCGAACTATGCAACTTTTTTTTACGCAGTTTGCGCGCATATATATATATATATATATATATATATATATATATATATATATATATATATTCTTTCTCTCTCAGCTCGCCGCAGGATATAAGAATCGCCTACATGATCGTCGCGGTCGATGAATAAACCTCGTGACATCATCGAGCAAAGTGCCGCGATAATTTGCCCCGATAACCGCGACAAAGTGCCGACAATTTTTCCTTCCTTCCGTCGCCATGCTCTCTAGCCGATATTAGCCTCGTTACTCCTTTTCCTCGTGTCCCTGGCCGTTTTTCTTCGTCACCGCGGCACTGCGGGTTCGCGGAAGCGCAAATTTATCTCCGTTCGATTGCAGGCCACGGAGCAACAGCATCGCCGTCAATGCGAAGCCATTCAAGAGGAGGAGGACAACAAAGCGGAAATCTATAATCACGTGACTGGGGACTTCCTCACCGAGGCCAGGGAGCAGGCTGAGAGCACTCGCGGTCCGCATAGACCGTTGACATCACGGTACAAGGGCATGACGGAAGACGAGTTGAGGGTCTTCAGGAATGCTCAGTTGGAGCAGATGAAGGAGCTCCAGGTTAGCGTGAAGTCGAAAGAAATTGGGCTTGCGTTTATTGTACCGCGATAAAAAAGACGTGCGCTTCATCTCTCAACGATCTCGTGTGAGAGGCGCGAGGAACCGGTCTACATTGTTGTTGAGAGGATGCGAACGCAAATGTGGCCGCGAGAATTCGCTACGCTCGAGATTTTGCATATTTGACATACAACACACGTTAACGACACTTATGCACGAAGAACGGGAGCGTCATGTATGATGTCATAACGAATAGCGGGTCCATGACGGCACGCATATTGTTAGCGTATCCAAGACAGACATTTCGTACCAAGCATTTTGGATTTAATATAATATACCTGAAATATATATTACATTAAATCGAAAATAAATCCGTAAAATTATCAATGCTCTTTTTCTAATGAAGCTTTTCCTAAACTCTCCTTTTTGTTGCAGAGAATCAAACAGGATGAGAAACGTATGAACGAAGATTGGGATCGTTTGATGACTTCGCATCTTCAGACTGCGCACTCATACGCGCACGAATTGGATCAGAGGAAATCGTAAGAACTCGCTTGATTCTCGTGGAATAATTTTCTCATGTGTTTCAAATTTTCTCATGTGAGATTGTATTCTCCCAGGCAACTCAACAGGAATATCGCGAACGAGAACTTGCAGTTAGCCGAGCAACAAAAGTCACGTCAGGATTACTTGAACCGCGTTGTTTACAAGAACATGCCAACCGCCGCGTTCTATGAGCAATTTAACAAAGGTACACGTTGAACGTAATGGCGACTCCTACATGCACGATGGATTCCTCCAGAATTACGGATAGCGGTCCCACACAGCAGGAATGTCCCAAAAATATCATAGGGATATCTTGAAGATATCACATACCCCAAATATATCTTTAGGATGTCTCTATGATGTATTTTGGACACCTCTGCTGTGCGAGGTGTATCGAAACACCATTACACAAATTCGTTTCAATACGTGAAATTAATAATAAATCGATCGTACTGACAAAATTGGTGTTGATTTCTTTAGATTTCCAGCGTATCTCGAATTCGTGCAGTTTCAAGAGTTTATTACGTAAGTTGTTAACGTTGAGTAAACATCACGATCTGTTTATCGCATTTGATAAGAAACGGTGACTAGTGCGCAATTTTACTTGTGGTCGATAACGTTGAACTACGACGCGCGTTACCATGCGCTGCTGAAAGCATCAAGCGTCGGTAAGTTTCCACGCATGAAGAAGTTCAATCTGAACTCGAGTATAACTTGAATATAACGGAAGACTGTGACAAATAGTTCACGGCTGATCACCGATATCCGTGACAGACTAATTTCGAAACTTTTTCTTTTCAAGGTATAACTCGAGTCATTTGACATAAACGGATCGTAATCGCAGGAATATCGCAGGTTAGGTAAGATATTATAATGTCGTATATTTTATCAGCTTATTGCGAAGAAATGTAGCATATAATGCCTCAATTTCTTCGATTATCAAATAAAACTTAATATCACAGGCGCAGATGTGTATTAATTTAAGTGGTTGCATAAGTAGTATAAAATTCATTCGCCACGTATCTTAAAGTACTCCTAATTGTGTCTTATGTTAAGATACTTAAAGCTATCGTCATACGCTTGGTGTGTTTCGGTGTAACTCTGAAGGATTACGTAATCATAATATTATGGTCGCGCTATTTCTATCATATTGAAGCTTATACGATGATAAACTTATGTCAAACACGTTCACCTAATATAATCTTCACGCAATGATCCTTCGTTGAAGTGCGATAAACCAAATAGTGTCGAAAATTTGCTCGAGAGGGAGATCTTGTGCTGATAGCAACACAAAATTTGACTCCGCTTCTCACGAAAGAAAGCAAGACAATTTAAATAACTTATACAGCTCATCTCTGACAAAACGTCAAAGCGGGACGGACCGCAAGGATGCGTGAACGAGTCATCATGCAAAATCGTGCTTTCTCCTCAACTCATTCACTAACTTATTTATTGTCCGGCGGACGGAGGGCCATCGCCAAGACTTGCTGCATCTGTATCCTAACGTCCAGCTTCTTTTCTTCCGGCACCTGTCTGATTATCGGCAACAACGACAACAGGAACATCTTGTCGTAATCGTCCTCGTCGAGGGTGACGCGCTGGCTGCTGTGCGACGAGAGGATGTCGTGTATCTCGTTGTCCAAGGGCGCGAAGGACGTCTCGCAGAGCTGCTTCGGATAGCGCGGGCACATTTTGTAGGACGCGGTACTCGGCTGGAGATACTCCCTGTTGCTACCTATGGAAGCGCCGCCGTGCGCAAGTGGCATGTCGTATTCCTCGATCATGGGGTTGTCGACCTCGCCCTCGCTCTCTTCCGACTTGCAGGGAGTGATCGTCATGACGGAGGCTCTGGAAGAAGATATGGTCGAAATAGTACGACGTTTACCGCACTGATCGCAGTGGTTTTTAGTCGCGACCGCGGTGCAGACGGCGATCGATATATACCTCTTGTTCTCCACCATTGGCATGAGAAACATCAAACGGTCGAAATACATGTACTTTTTGCGTTTACGCCCGGCGGGCCCGGTCTGCTGTGATTTCTGAAGCTTGAGCTCCTTCATGAAGTAATCCCGTATATTCCTCCACTTACCACGCAGGTTCTTTTCTAAAAAAAAGAATCATGGTCCATAGTAGTAGGTTCATGGCAAGAACCACGATTTTTGATGCCTTATAGTCTGAATTTGTTTGCGATATGTTTGAGATGATACATCATAACGAAACGATCGACATTTTTCGAACAATAATCTTGGATTTAGAGACTCAGTAAAGATGATTGTGTGATGTTAATTGTTGTCGCGAAATCGACGCGTATCTTTTCGCAATTTTTGTAGAAGAAACAATGTTACTATCAAGTACGATCGATATATTCCTCACTGAAATGTTATAAATACATAGTACTGCGATCAATAAAATCTCGCTAAAAGAATCAGTTAACAGTGGCGACCGTTATTATTGATGGAGTTTGCAAACACAGCAGTGTCGTTGCATGCGAATCGTACGGAAGCAGATAATTCCATCATCACAAACGCAGGAAGTTGGATTTGACACAACATATAACGAATTTGTGTGCTACATTGAGAAAAGAGAATGCTTGAAAATCTATTTTCTAAAAAATATAAAATCTAAAATTTTCAAGTATCTTTTTTTCAGTGTAGATTTTACGGTAAAGTTCCACTGATCAAAATAAATGAGATATAAAATGAAGTAGTTAAATGGAAATCAATGAATATATATATATATACACTCTTTGATTATCGGTCGGATAAAAAGTACTTCTTTTACTGATTCAATCAAAGACATTTTTACTGATTCACATCAAGAGAATACGTAATGGAATTATTTTGATGTTCAATTCTGATTCTATATATATAGAAAAGCTTGAGCACGTCTCGCGCGATTATCAGGTCGTCCGATACCGATCCGGTCGCGACGGTCGCGTGGGAAATATCGATTCGCGCCGACCCTAAATTTCCGGACTTCCGCCGCGCTCGGCGGCAACGCGGCCGGAGGAATCCGGATCGATCAATCGCGGTGGCGTGCTGTATATACCTTCCACGTTTCTCTCCTCGTCCGTCAAGCGCGCCCAATTCGGTACCATCACCTGGCAGACCTCGTCCCACGCGTTCATCTTGGCGTTACGGTCGTTGTACTCGCCGCGACTCACGTCGTAAATCGCCGGCCGCCTCTCTATCTCCTCGATGAACTTTTCCGTGTCGAACATATTCATAAAGTCCTCGAAGAGCTTTCCGCCTCCCTCGACTCGTCCCGCTCGGTCTTCCTCGGTCGACCTTTTCCCCTGGCGACTCAAACAGCGCACCTCTCGCGATAAGAAATTAGGATTGTCTCTAGGATTCTCTCTGCGATCGACGAGAATTCTCGCGGTCGACGGATTCGAGAAAGTTTTAATGAGTCTTGAGCGATGACGAGGAGAGGAGAACACTTCTCCGGCTGAGGTGCGAACGAGAGTTCCCGTTGGAGCACGTGGAGGTCGATCTCCGCGTGGATCTTAAAATTCACGAATAAATCCTCCACCACCACCGCACCGTGTGGCGGTCTTCGTTGATCAGTGCACGTGAAAAAGCTCCCCGGATTGGCAACGGAATATCCGCAGGCGGCCACCAGCTTGCGTCCAGACCTCCGTCGCGCCGCGTCGCGTCGCGTCGTGTCGTCGGCAGCGGCTTGCGCGTCACTGCGGAGAAACCGTTGTACGGTCAGCACGGCTTTGGTATCATGGCGGCCCGGCAAATGTGCGGTTGCGGTTGCGGAGCGGAATCTATGCCGTCCGCGACGTTGCCAGACGCGCCCAACGCGAGTTGGCGTGCGAGCGGTCGCGGCGGGTCGGCGGGCCGAAAGACGACGGCGGAATCGCGTCGCCGCGCAACGCCAGATCAGACATGTAGACACCGTGTATTTGCGCGCAGAAATGCGCTGCGAAAGGTGTTTCGATTCAATTGAAAATCAATCTTCGAAAAACCCAGCGAATTTCCTGGCCGACCTCGCCGTTCGCTAGTGACGAAAGGTCGACGTCTTCCCGTCGAATAATGTACGATGGACACGTCTCAAAGTCGACGATTCGTAACGGTAAACCTGACATCTGCGACGTGTATATTAATACATACATACATATATACATTAATACATACATATATACATATATATTCATATCGATGTGCAAATTTCATCCATCTGGTGTCGTGTAAATTCCAGCCATGCGATATTAATTATAGCAAATATAAAACGCGATTATGCTCGAATTCTGGTGGTTGTTGAATGGCAAATCGATAATTGCAAGTAGAAAAATGCGTCCTCCCACGTCCTCCGGACGAAAACCGAAGAGTTCGGGCAGCTGAACCTAGTTGGAAACCGGTAATCTTGAACGCAGCATCGGCTGCACATGTGTGAATTGGCATCGGTAATCGAGACATGTGTGTGTTACCGAGTGCGATTCTTGCAACCGTGAGATTCTTTTTCGTCTCTTCCTTTCTTCTCATTTCCTTTTTGCAAGTAACGTGCACGCGAGGAAGCGGGTGGAAGTAGCTCGATCTGCCTCTCGCGACGTATCATCTCGGAGATAACGTCGCCGATACATCGGTTAACACTCCCCAGGTCGTTTCTACGCACAGGAGGTACACCCTCCACCGACGAGTGCGGAATTCGCGCCGCCGCGACGTTGCCAAGTCCTCGTCGTGGGTGTCGGAATTCACGTGTTGCTACGCGACATCGTCACGTGTGCTGTGGGTGTGTGTGCGTGAGTACGGCAACGTCGACGCGTTTCCACCGCACCGTTATCGACCGTGGCAGGCGTTGCGGATCGCAGCGAAATCGACGCTACCGGATCGGACTTGTCGCGAAGCGTACGCTAGATTATTTTTCAACGCCCCCGAGAGAGAGGCGGTGTCGAAAGCCGTCGAAAAATATAATTTATTTCTTTTTGAAGAAATGATCTTTTGTTAAAGAAATGTTGAATTCTATTTGTCCTGTTCAAATGAATAATTTATATATATGTTAAAGCAATATTCACGTAGTAAAAGGGGATAGAAGTTTATTCACTTGCAGATACCCCGATGTCGCAAGGAGCCGCAAGAAGGTTCAATCAGTTGACTATCGACTCGTTTGACACGAAGGTCGCGGCAAACAAGTGCAAGCTGAATGGCAGCGCGTAATGCCCGCGCCGCGGGACTTGGTGCGCAATTACAAAGGGATTTAAAAGGGTCTGTAAGTGCCATTAACCATTTGCTCGAATGTAGGAACGATTCGTCGCGGAGTCGCGCGCGCGCTGACCCACCAGCCAATGAGGACTCGCCACTCGCATGGTCCGATATACGCCACGCATCACGCATGACAGATTCGAATGCTACTGTTCCTCGCTCTGCTGTTCTTGAACTTCGAGTCGGTCACAGGTCGCAGATACTGAAGTTGCAAACTGGTCGCGCTTCGAACGCGACATATGAAAACTGCTGTAATTTACTGTAATTATGTATATCCACGATGCTCGCTGTGCTACGTAACTGCTCGACGTAGACACACACTTCTATGCCACAATACCGATAATCGCAGTGACCGCACATTACGTGTGATTCATGCGTTGACACTATCTCGGTGTGTAAAATAAAACAGTTTGAAACAGCGTATTATTGCACGCAGACACACAATGCCTACTAAAAAAATTGGCTGCGCATTGGAAACGTGGCGTTTCTCCTGCAGCGTTTCCCAGAACAAAACTAACACAAGATAATTAACTAACAAAAGATATTAAGACAATAAGATATCTCTAAAAAAACATTTTATTTCTTTTAGACGTCTCTTTCAGACGTTCTTAAGATATTTTTTTAGTAGTTTCTGCTGTCTGAGTTTGCAAACTGAAACAGGTGTTCGAGCAAACGGAACGATTGCCCTTGCTGAAACGGATATCGCACCCGTTACGCAAAAGGAAAAATATACACGAAACAATAGAAATTATTAAATCTACCGCGTTAATTGTCCTATTAATTCAATTTTTGGCTTGAAACGAACGGCATTCAACGAAGCGCCGACTTGTGTAAATGTATATACGTTCATTGTTTCAACCGGTTTCTTCTTCATTTTATTACCTATATATAGACCGTGCGAGAAAAATGAGAAATTTGTGCATTGCATGACGGAAAAGTCGTTAATTGCACGAGCAAGAAGCAGCAAAGATACTGGCAGTGCGTCGCGTCTTCGCAGCTGCGAATAGACTTTACAGTGGAGGGGAACTCACGAAGCATCCGGGTGGGTAGCAAGGTAGGGAAATTTCGAAGGCCGGTGGAAGGGCAAAAGGGTCGAAAAGGGAACAAGTGAGTGAGCGAGCGAGCGAGAGGGAGAGAGAGAAAGAAAGAGCGAGGAGGAGAGCCAGAATCGAGGAGTCGAGGGAGAGCACGCTTGCAACGGACGGTTCGAAATAGGGCGGCTTTGAAAGGGGCGCGAGGGGACAAGGAGGAAACGGGAAAGAGAGGGAGCACGACCCCAGCATTGAAGGCGGAACAAGCGAGCGACGAGTGTGTGTGGGAGGGACGAGGAGAGAAGGATAGAGGGAGAGAGCTGTGTAGTTGAGTGAGAGATAAAGTTTTCGTGCCACCGACGTTCTTCATCCTGGTCTGGTCCTGCTCAGTTCCGCGCCGATCGACCAGGAGTTGGTACCCAGTCTCGTCCCGGCCGTATCGACTAATCCGCCGGCTGCACTTCGCTCGTTCCACACGCGCGTGTTACCGAACGGCTCTCTCTTCCTTTCTCTCTCTATCTCGGTCGATCATGTCCGGTGAACAGTTCCTTGGCAAACGCTACAAGCTCTCCAACAGCGAGAACTTCGACGACTTCATGAAGGCGCTCGGTAAGTGCGCATATAATCGAATGCGCGGCCTTTGGCATCATTCTGATCGCCCGAATGAGGTGCATTCGTCGCACACTCGCATACATGCATATGCATGGCCACGTCGCCATCGTCCGACGCGCAAGCAAAGTGAGAAAAGCGGAAAGTAAAGGGTCGTCTACAATGTGATCGCGTTACGTTCTATGATCGTAGTTTATGAATCACGCGGCTGTCTCCTTCGTGTAAATTTCGTAAAAAAATGAAAAGTTTCATTGATTAATTCAATAAGACTTCCTACGATCTTGAGATGTCCTCGTTACGACTACATTGTAGACGACCCTTGATGTCCTCTGACTCACGATTTTATCGCGGCAATTAGGTGATAAAGGCGATATTTCAGAAAAATCGAATGTTCACTCGTGTGTACATACATGTACAAATAGTACACGCCTCGATTATCGTGTACCAGATAGATAAATATATTTAGTACGGGATACGGAGAAGATAATCGAAGTCGTTAAGCCTTAGACCAACATTGTAAATAACTTTATCGAAGTAGAATATAAGAAATGAAGTATATTTTGTAGTTGATTTATATCGGCAACGCAGAACGTAACCTTTTTTTAGAAATAGCAACAAATATATATATATATATATATATATATATATATATATATATATATATATATATATATATATATATACATATATATATACTCGCGTTAAAACAAGTTACTACCATTACCGTAATAAGATCTGACATTAGCGTACGCTGTATACCCTCGCAACAGATAGATCACGGCTTTGCGACACACGTATCACGTGTAAGATATTGTAAGGCGTGAAAGTTGCGAGACAAACACTAAAGGACCTCTCCAAAGACATTCGTGAATAACACCTTGCCTGTTTATAGAATTTCCGAGCAGCTACGAGCGAGAATATTAATTACAGCTCGCTTTAAACGAGCTACGGTTTACGTCAGAGAGAGAAAATTCTATTCACAAAATAAAAGAATTAAAATTATGAGAAAAATTAGAATCACAAACTCTGTGGCAAATTGTAAGAATATTGGTTGATGCAGTCGATCTCTCGAAAGAGGAAATCGTTAGAGAATTAACGTATAATCTTGAATATTTTTCTACCTTACTTCTCTCAAACAACTTATTTGCCGAAAGTATATGAACGTATAATTGATCACATAACACAAAAATATTACATCAACATTAACAAAAAGGCTTTTAATTTTAGTTGCTAAATAGATGGTAACGGTGTTATCAAATGTTAAATGTTGCTTTCCGGGATTTTTAATAAATTATCCCGGACACATGATTTTCTAGATTGATTCAAGGTTGCCTTGTAGTTAAATTAATATGACTTCAATATCCATCAAAATATACCTGCTATAAGATAAATTATCACCTTAAGCTAACGTTTCAGTAGTATCAGTATATTTTCCTTCAGCTTATATAACCAAGAAGGCAATTTGGTTTACAATTATATTCGTTGACCAGACACATTTATTCTTCTTATTTTTCATTCCTTATTTTTGACCAGACACATTTATTCTTCTTATTTTTCATTCCTTATTTTCCTTATCTAGTTACTAATACCTGTATAATTACATTATCTCTCTTTAATTGACAATGTCATCCTTGTTATCTAAAAATATCTTTGTAATCTTCTTTCACAATCTTCTCAATTTTTACTTAACTTTTACATCATCTCCCCATCTATTATCTCTAAATATATTTTCCTATTTTATTCTACGGGTGTCTTTATCGTCCTCGTACACAATACTCTGTTCTTCCCTTCAGCTGTACACATCTATCTCATTATCTTCCCTCTTCTTATTCAATCTCTTCACTGTTCTCTTCATTTCCTTTTTATTCTCTTTTCTCCCAATTTTCTTCCATATCTTGTAAGTTTCATTACTTCACTCTCTATATTTTCTACTCCATGAAGTGATTTTTCTGCCTTTTTTGCCTTTCTATATGTCTCCTTCAGCTTACATCGCTAGACAAAAGAGTTTTCCATATCCTATAATCTTCCTCTTTGCACTTTACCATTCTTATGTGCATAGCACATACCTCATCAGTCCTCTTTCTTGCGTCATTCTTCTTCCATATACCTTTATTTTGCTTCCTTATCCCATCTGATGATTTTTCATCTTTCTTTTTCCATCCATTTTTCTTCTTCCTCTATCCCTTGTGCATTTTTCTTCTTCCTCCATCCCTTGTGTACTTCTGTCTTCTATTACCAAATCTATTATACATTTCCTTTATCGACAATTTATTCTGTATTACTATGCTAATTTAAGCTTGTCCGCACTATCTACATCATCCTAATTACTCATTTTTAATAACGTCGTAACTGTCATTACTTATGCACTTTTTTCACTCTGAATTCTATTTTCTTATCTAACGCCTTAATTTACACACTATTTACGCTCACTCCTATATAATTTCCTCTATTTGACTCCCTATATTTAATTCAATACATTAAAATCATGCCAACTCACAATCGCGTTAATCAAGCACTCACATATGTAGTAGTATTAACATACTGCTCTCCGCGATAGAGAAAATTACTGCAACATTGTATTCTTATGCAAAATTATTCTTATGTAACTTACTTAAATATCATAGCTGTATTTTTTACTATTGATGACTTAATGTTATGTAAATGAACGTAACTTCCGCCTACGGTGATTGTCGTCAGCTTAATCGGTTAATTAACTGCTGAATTCGTCCGCATTAGCAAGATATCAATAAGGACGGGGAAGATAATCAATTTTAATACGTTGAATTACGCCCTCATCTTCGTGCAACGACCTGACCTCGATCTTAATTCTAACCGTGTACTGCAGACAGTCCGATTGTGGTCCAATTTAACACTTGAATTAATTCATCAACAAGATTAATAAATCGCAATTGTCAGTCGAATCACGCAAACGCACGGCCGGCCAGCTTTATGCACTTCTCCTTTTCCTCCTTCTTTTCGTCAAGCGAAAATGTCTCTGCTTTTCGAGGATCGGTAGAAGGATCGGCGATTTTGTGCGCCAGCCGGCTCGCACGAAACACTCTTTGCAAAAACGTTCAATGACTATCAACTTTCCCACCCTCGCCCGACATAGTAGTTGCGGTAATCTTCGGGAGTTGTTCGCCGGAAATTAAATAAGCGAGCAAGTCTAGACGCACCATTTCCGATATATAGCGTATAGTGTATGTGTTCACGATGCCGTAGCATATCGCGGAAATTGACGTACCGCTTCTAAGAGTCGAGCTGATAAAATCGGTCATCGATATAGCAGCTGCGCGACTCGTATTTCTTAATCAGTTACAACTCGGCACAAAGATAAATATTTTCTTCTTCGATCGAAGATTATATGATGGAGGCGAGCAAGTCTAACATGTTCTCCGTCGAGTGTGCTTTAAAGTTAACATGAAATTTTTAATAATTCGAGCGATAATGGCTTCTTTATTGCCCGTCATAAAAGACCGAACAGCGCGTTAAGTTGTTCTTGTTGACTTTGTGATAAGCAATCGGTAAAAACAAGTTTGCTGAAAGCGGAAGTGTTTACTAGAAATACGCGAGATAAGGGGGATATATTTTGAGAAAATATCGTTTGCTATAAATTGTTGCACACGCATATTCGGATATTTGTGCCAAGTAAAAGCGCGCGCGCGAGAAACGCTCGCACGTCACAAATCGCTATGTATATTCATATGTTGAGATATTGTCATCGTGAACGATAAGTTAAGGCGTCTTTTCGTATGGATATAAATAATACACGCGCGCAATCATACGAATGGGTCAAACTTCAAAGTTTACGTTGCGCATTTCGAATTTTAACCGATACCCATTATTCCGCTCATGCGATAACCGACCTCTACCTTACGATGTAAAGTCTAATCAATTATGGAAGTGTGCATAAAGCGTGCCAGTCGGTCGTGCCGTTGGTCAGTCTCGTTCTCGCAGGCGCCAGCGATACGTCGAACGTCGAGATGTCGTCGGGAATACTGACCGGTATTTTGGGCAAGCGTTATAAGCTCCAGTCGAGCGATAAATTTGACGAATACATGAAAAGCATGGGTAAGACGCTTCGACGGTGTGTACATCTGAGGAAGAATACTTGAATGTGTGGGTAAAGTTCATTTCTGTGAAATGAAATTTTTCTCTATGAAATAAATTTTATTTCAGTGCATAGAAAATCTATTATCCCGCAAGTAAATTTTTGAGTATTTTTCCTTCAGTGTAAGGTACTTCTATATCTTACTTATTTAGTATTATCGAACGAACCTTTTCTGGCGCACAAACAGCTCCAGAATTGGCAGTTCTATCATTGGAGTTTTGGAGCTGAAGTATATTGATTTTATGGGATTTTGAGGAAGACATCTGAATTGTGCACGACTTTACGACAATGTTTATTTACGTTTTCAGGAGTAGGTCTGATGACGCGCAAGATGGGCAGCAGCGTCAGTCCTGTGGTCGAGCTAACGGAGGACAACGGGACGTACACGTTGAAGACGACTAGTCCCTTCAAAAACACCGAGATCAAGTTCAAACTCGGCGAAGAGTTCGACGAGGAGACGGCGGACGGCAGGAAGGTGAAGAGCGTCTGCACTCTGGACGGTAATAAACTCATGCAATTGCAGAAGGGCGACAAGGAGTCTACGATTGAGAGGGAATTCTCGCCTACGGAGATGAAAGCGGTGAGTATATATATCCCAGGAAATTTAGGAGTGTTGAATATTCAAAAACACGTCGCGGCGTTGATGCTTAATTAAATGGTTAAATGTAGCGATATAACAGAAAACGACGCGGCGAGATAACATATTTAAAACCACTTTGTGTCAGTGGTATCTTGAGTATTTTATCCGTGAATCTCCCGGTGCAAGGGCTTATTGATTAAGCTGCACAGCTGCGAGAATATTTATTAGTCATACTTCGCGCTACGATAGTTATACGCCGTAGGTATTCTATGTTTGTTCGCCACGCTATCAAGATAGCAAGACAACGTCGTACTTTGGCCGGCGAGTAATATATTAAATATGAAATATCTTAAGCTCCCACTTGTACGAAAGTCTAAAGTCCGTGTCACTTTGATTGCGAGTTGCAAACGTTTTTATTCTTCCAAGAAGCGACAAAAAATACATTAGTATTTATTAGTTTATTTTATGTGTTTTATTTATTCACGGCCGCTCACATATATTCCTTTTTTCGTAAAATATTAACTATTTCGATTAAAAGAAATAAACTGTATACATATGCGCGGTTAAACGGCATCCGCAGGATCCGGGTGCTTTGATAATCGTGACAATGACGTGGATCAGTTGTTGAGAAATATACTTATCGTTCGCGCGCGCGTGCTTAAGCGTCTCTTCTTTTCCTCGCCGAGCAGACTCAGAATGTCGTCGATTCATATCGTTCGTGCGAGCGCGGGAGTTACCGATTAATGTACAAAAGTTACGTGCAGGAACGCTGCGCCGAGGGATCGTTGCACGAGCGCGGCTAATGTCATAATAATTCGTCAAATGTCCGGCCAATTATCGCGTGCGTTCCTCCTGTTCGTGACACGTACAATTCCACGGCTTCAAAACGGTGCCAATGAAGATCTATTGATCCGTCTGGCGGCGTACACGGTGTTAACACGGCCGCCGTGTTAATGCCGTGAGACACCGGCGCACGAATAATTCCCGCACTTGTCCAGAAATTGCCGTCAATGCGCGAAATTGCGTTTGCACCGCCGCCGCCGCCGCTCGTCCGCGACGATGATATGCGTGTGTACTGATCGCCGGGTTTGTTTGTGTTGCAGATTATGAAGGTAGACGACATAGTTTGCACGAGGGTATACAAAGTCCAGGAATAGGTGGGATCTCGACTGAAGACTTGAAGGCGTGCACAACCGCATACGTGAAGAGCACTCCGAAAAAAAGAACGTATCAATTGTTGTTTAAGATCTTGTCTCTCGCGAGCGCGCGAACATATGGCATTAAATGTCATGTGTCGGACCATCTGTGTATTTAGCTGAATCACTCGCAGCTTTGTCACGAAGAGAGATGTCCTTTCACACAAATTACAAAAGTTGCAAGTTTTTTTCTACAAAGTTTTTTTCTACAGAGTTGAAATTTTTACGTTTCCGATATTTTCACTTTTGTAAGAGGAATGTAATTGCGAACGACAACTACAATTCGAAATCTATTCAAGAATAGATTGATCTGAGACAAATCTTATTCTGTTCTTAGAAAAAGAAGTAATAGAATATGAAGAATGTTACATTATTCTCGACTGAAGATATCAAGATGGTTAACTGAAGAATTTTCTGAACGGAATAGAATAAAGGCTCTTACGGTTCAAAGCATAGGTATAACTTGAGTAATATTTAAGCACAAATTAGCCGCCCGAGGGTCGTGCACACTTCTTCTTTTTGACGAGTTTTTGTATTACGCGTTACATAATGAAATATGTAATATCGTCGTTGATGAGTTATGTTTCGTCTTCAGCGGTAGCTATGTTACCCATTACTTGTACGAATAACATTTGCCATATGAATTTTTTTTACGAATAAATATTACAGAAATACGCACGATATTTTCACCACAACTCTCTCTCGATTCTTTCTTCACCTCCTGATATTCTTTTTAAAAAGTTAACCAGGATACTTAGATGTATTATTACATAATATACATACATATACACACACACATATATATATATAATGTGTGTATATACAGTCTGTCAAGTAAAAGCGTGGTCGGCCTTATTCACAACTGGTAAAAGGTATCGCCCTAAATCTTTCGTAAGTCGATAGAGGGAACCTTTGTCCTTGATGCACTGTTAAGAAATATTCAGTTATCGTTGATTTTTTGTAACAGAAACACATTGAGCGCCATGAGTGCCAAATAGTAGCGCGTCGCGCTACGAAGCTGTAGTCCTTTGCGCCCACCCGAAAGATCCGAAAATGTTGCAATCAGCGGCTACTAAATACATGAGAAAATCAAAAACATTCATACAGAAGTGGATGTACCGATACAATGTGGCAAAAAATGTCGATGATTTACCGGAACGTGGCTCGATAGGCAAATTTGATCGAATGCTTCGAAAAAAAAAAAAAAAATATATATATATATATATATATATATATATATATACACAGTATATAATATAATATATGATGTGTGTGTGTGTGTGTATATATACACACAGCAAAAAGAGAAAAAAGCATCGTAAAAAACATACAAAATATATTTAATTGCTCCTATTTTCATTAATACAACTTTGCATTGCGCTTGAATATAATTTTACTCTTCAACGCGACGAGGCACGGTTTATCGCTCACATTATCACTGTTTAATCGTTTCGTTATTAATAGTCATTACTTGAAACTTACTCCACGTAAGATACCCAGATATAAATTTAGAATTAGATTTCAATTTTTCATTTAAATCAATATATGCGACATTGCATTTATAATCGCGATTCAGCTGAAAAATTTATATCTTCAACTGTTCATCTCAACTCTATGTTCAAATCTGAGTATCCCACCTGAGGTGAGTCTTAAGTAATGACTATTAACACGGATCTTACTCGTCCATATCTATCAGCGAAGATATCTGTAAATAAAATGCGAAATTGTTACGTAACGTTAGGTGCGACACCACACTCAGCATTACAAGGATAGAAAATCCCTTCGCATCTGGATGTCAATGTTACGATGTCAATACGACGGATTTTCTTATCGGATCTTTCATGTATTTTATTATGCAAAGCCTTACGTAATACTCGATGTAACAGGTGTGCCCGTCATCAGTTTTGACCATGTATTGGAAGCACAGTATGCCGGCAGTGTCGGTTCTTAAAGAAACCATGTTGGCGCACGACAGCGCACGCATCGCCGGCTTAATGTGCGCCAATTTGAAATTGGATGTCGCCGTCGCCGTGCACTGAAAAGTACCCACTAGTTCACTATCGTGCGGCAAGTCAATGTGGCAAACGCCTCCTAGACCGTCCGTGCTGATTCTGAAGTACGGTTTCTCCGGCGATAAGCACAACTAAAACAACGTATTTTTCATGAAAACAATCAACACTGTCGATGAATAAATAGACCTTTACACGAATTATACCGGAAATCCTCTTTCTCTCGAAATACCGACTAACGAGATAATTCGTTATTGCTTGTAAATTTTACACACACACACACACACATACACATATATATATATACCTCGACTAAATCACTAGTTGGATCTAACTCGGTTATGATGTCCTTCAGCAATTCCGTTCGCAGCACTACTTTATTCACGACATTTTCTGTTTCGAGATGGAAGTCTAGCAGTGTATCTACTTCTAGAGTCTTTAAAGAGCAGTCTGTTATGATGCCGTCTTCTTCGATGATAACGCTTAAAGGATAGCCTGTGCCCTATAATAGATTGCAGCAATATTTGTTATATTGTCCTATTTGTTTTAATATTTATGTGTAGGATTTACTTTGTAAAATATTTGCACTGTAACTGAATCTTCTTGAGCACTTGGCCAGAACATGCAAAGGCATTCTATTAATATATTTAAACTGATTGAAAATGTAACATCGTCCTTCAAATCGAATTCGTGGAAAATTTCGGACGGAATATATGCATTAGCCTGCATGCATTTCGCATCCTCGACTGTAATCTTCAATCCTTGCTGATTACCGACGCAAGTGGCTGTCTGTATAATATGTAAATGTTTCATTTTAATGAAAGAAAGTAACACGACTGTATAAATGTATCCTAAATACCTCCTTAAAATTGATAGCTTTCAATAAATGTATTACAGTCTTCAAATTTGTCAGTCCCATTTTTGCGACTAGCATGTAGTCTTCGACATTAGAGCGCATCATGTTCACATGAAACCTGATATAACAATAAACTGTCAAATTGTTTTTGCGTCAATTGCTGATGTCTCAGTTTCTCATTGTCAATGCTAGCTAGCCAAGCGGCCAACACATGTTTACAAGTATAAGCAGACCGATCTTTCAGTACCTGGTACCTATAATATTACAAGAGCCATACAAGAATGTTCTACGGAGAACAGAAATGAGCCATTTATTTTAATCTGTAAAATGTCGTGAAAACATTACTTTCAAGGCAAAAAGTTCATACAGTTCATGCAATGTTATACCTGAAGGCATCACAAGTACAATAATTTGTTTCAGGAAAAAGAGTGTACAATGCTCCTGAGTGCCCTTTAACTTGTATCAACCAACTGGCTTCATTTGCACTCTTGCATGGCTCTGTTATAATCGTTTTAGATGTGGAGATTTGTATCACTCGCTGCTTTTCATATAAGTCTAAGCTTCTCTCAAACACTCCACCAAATAGCTTGTACAGTTTCAGTAGATTTGAGTCTGAAACTAAAGATATTTAATCATCTCATAAGTAGTGAGGATTTTTCAACAATTAATAATTACACAAGTTATTTCCATAGCCTTGAAAGCTTAAAATGAAAATGACAACATAAAGAAGGAAAGTACATGCTTGATTAATCTTCATAAAAATATATTGTTTCCCTTCATTTAAATTTACAATCAATAAAAACCAATTTACAACCAATAAACTATTATTTATGAAATGAAATTCATAAATGAAAATTCTTTTTTTATGATGTAAAGTCATATTAAAAGAAGAACCTCTAAAAAGCCAATATTAAGAATAACAAATAATAATGGTAAAAGTAGATCACAAGATACATACATCTTTTCTCTCTTTGAAAGTCGTCAGCTAATTCCTTCAACAAAGTATCTACAAAACTTGTATACTTTTGATCATATATAGTGGATAGTGAAGTGGTGTTTGCTACTTGTTGATTCAAACTCATTGGAACGTTTAATAATGACGAATCTACATTTGAATTCTGAATGTCCTTCGAATTTTTTCAAATATTTTTTTTATTATATAATACTTTATTCGTCAAACAAGTTAAATAAATTTAATAGACTTTAAATAAGTCAGAAGGTCTTTAAACGTGACAAACATTGATGATCTTGCTGCAACGTAACAGCGCTATGCAATGATATCAATAGCGAATTCATACTAAAGTTGTGTTCCGAAATTCACTGCCAGTACTGGAAATCTATAGTTCATGTCACGTATAGTATAGAATTTCAGCACTGGTAGTGAATTTCGTAACGCAGCCTAAATCACAAGATATTCACATTTCTATATAACACACTAGACTGCTAACTTCTTGTACATTGTATTGACCTTATATTCGTGTCGCTCAAAAGTAGTATTAAAGTGTATTATTGCGTATACGCCAAATAAGCGCATGAAGAATGTAATTACATTTGCGTAAGTTTATGGTCGTGTTAACAAAATATGGGTTATAAAATTTTATCTTACTTTATTTTTTTTTACATACATACATACATTTCTATTTATTTTAATTGTGACATTAGCAGAAAGCTGCATTCCATGTGAGCTTCTTTGGTGCATGCACACTGACTTATCTACAAGTTTGTACATAAAAGTTGGATACATCTAAAGGCCCTCACACATAAAACGACATAACTGCATGTGCATAGCATAAGACTGTTGGACCAATGAGCATCGAGTATTTAGCCGCCATATTGATGCTTGATGTTCAATACTCGATGCTCATTGGTCCATATAGCCTCATGCTATGCACATCTTTGACTATGGCTGCGTTCCGAAATTTACTGCCAGTACTGAAATTCTATAATATACGTAACATGAACTATAGATTTTCAGTACTGGCAGTGCATTTCGGAACGCAGCCTATATAACCATGAACCGCTAGCGGCGATTCTAAGCGTCTGTTAACATCTGGGCCCCTATTCTTGAAATTTTTGCGTATACGTAATTTTCATTGCGCAGCTATTTTATGGTATGATTAAACCTGCGCAGTAAAACTTACGTATACGCAACTTTTCAAGAATAGGGGCCCTGTGCCGCCAGGATCAAACAATGGCAAAAAGAGGAACTCAGTAGAGCAAAACAGAGTTAGAACGTAAATGCTTCTAATATCCGCATATCACATGGTGATACATATTAGAAAGATTTAATAGTATAGTAGAAGTAATAAAAAGAATTAGATTTTCTTGAAAACCATAAATACTTTATAACAAAATTAATTATAGAAAATTATGTTAAAATTGTTTGAATTATAAGGGAAAATTAATGAGCCAAAAATGTCAATATATCAGACATAAATTGGCAAAAATTATTTTATTTCAAGGACAATAATATCCCGTAATTTGGGGTAACTTTTATATCGCTGACATGAAAATTCTATCTCTATCCGTTTAATGATGCCACATGTTTTTGTAAGCCGTTGCGAATTATTCAAAGTTACCCCGGTGTTTCAAGTTATCTCAAATGACAGTATTTTAAACAATGTTTTAAAAAATGTTGAACGTTCTTTTTATAATATTATATATATATATATATATATATATATATATATATATTATAAACGTTCTTAATATATATATATATATATATTTTTTTTTTATTCATGTATTATATATATATATCTTATTATATAAATATATTATATAAATATTATATATTTTTATGTAATATAATAAATACAAATTTGGTATGAAATTATATAAATCTTATTTTGTATTTTTATATTTTCCTTGCAAATCAGATTTTTTTTCTTATTACTTTAAAAATAGTTGATTTTTATATTATAACAAAGTTGTATAACTTTTTTTTTAATGTAATAATTTATTTAAAGAAAAAATGAAAAAGTGTGTTATTGACGATTAAAGAAATATAATAATTTTCATGTATTTTAATAATAACTGCAATTTATGATCACGGACAGACACACAAAATATCTTTCACATGGTAAAATAGAAATCACAAGTGATAGTTTACGTAATAGCCGTTGTTTGGTCTTGGCGGCGCTGCAGATGTTGACACACGTTTTACTGCAGACATAAGATAGCGGCAAGCGGTCCATGGTTATATCAAAGCTTAAGTCGGAATCAGACTACGCATTGGAGATTGAGGATTGCGAATTGAAGATTGCTATTTGACCAATTGGAGCAAAGCAAGCCAAAATCAAAGTTCGTTGATTCGTAGAAATCTAATCTTCAATCTGCAATCCTCAATTTCCAATAGCATTGGGTACGTTCGGGAGACACAACAGTTGAGTAATTAGTCAACGTAATTGGTCTAAAGTTAAGGATCTAACAGTAAGAACCAATAATCACTGACCGCTCATTGATCAGCTATGTTTTCTGAATGCAGCCTTGGTTTATATTGTGCACTTGATACGCGTACTAAATAGTAAAGGCCGGTTTATGATGGCCGTAATCCGTTGACTTATGCCGGAACCATAAATACCAATCACAGTCGATTATTCTTCTATAATTCGACTATGATCGACGTCAATTTTTTACGGTCCGGCATAAGTTAACGGATTACGGCCATCATAATATCGACCTTAATATCCGGCCTTAATATCGACGATATAAACAACGGTATATTAAGCTGATATAATACTCATCAACAAAACGTATTGTATTGGGCGCATTCAGTAGAAAAAGCGCTCAGTGAGCAATTAACGATTATTGGTTCTTGCTATTAGATCCCTAAATCTAGACCAATTACATTGACAAATTACTCAACTGTTGTGAACTGTTGAGTCTGCTGAATGCAGCTAATGATTGAATGCGTTGCCGTTGATATGCATTGCCGATATTAGGATTGTTTAATAGAAAGTTACTATTTAGTACATATATCAAAGGCGTTTTTTCGTTTCGTGACCACATTAGCGTTTGGTTGGTTAATTTGGTCCACTTATACCCGTTTGGTTAACTTAACCAGCTGATTATTCTAATGGAATTGATCAGTTGCATCTGTCAATTATGACTAACGAGAAGTGCGATTGGTCAATTCCATTAGAATAACCGTCCGGTTAAGTTAACCAAAGTTGGTAGAAACGAGTATTAACGCTCGTAACGCCTCGAGCAACAAGGATAGAATGACGCCCGCAGCGTTGCGAGCGTTAAGTTGACCAAACTAACCAACCAAACGCTACCGTGGTCACTAAACAAAAAAACGCCTCAAGTGCACGATGTAAACCAAGCCAATGCGTAGTCTGATTCCGGCTTTACAGCGCGTAAGCGCCCAAAGCGAACGCAACCTAGATTGCACATAGCACGAAGTAAAACCAAGAAATCGTGAACATTACTTATTACCCGCAGAAAAAATATATGACTACGTAGTTTATATGTACGTTTGTAATGGCGTATCGCTTACGCGATCAGTCAAAACCGGTCCAAGATTCCTTCTCTCTGCCACGTTTCCTTTTCAGGTATGTATCTGGAGAGCTTTGCTCTGAACGTGGTCATTCTGGTCGGGTTGGTGCACCTGATATTTTGAAACAGGTATGTTGTAACTCTGCTCGATCCGTTACGAGTGTCGTGTTTTCGTGAATGAGCTTTGATATAATCAAATTTCGTTGGATTTCGTCGAGGATTGTAACAGCACAGCCTCGTTAAAAACTCAGCATGAACAGTCGGCGAAGACGTGCAGACGATTTCACGGATTCCCTTCGTAGTTTCCGTAAGTACAACAATAAATCTCGCATATTCGTGTTAACAACACTATTTTTACAAAAACCTAAGTTTATTATTGAACGCAGTGTCTGTAAGGCTTTGCCTACAATATATGAGATAAGCTTGATATAAGAAATAAGAATAGAAGTAAGAAAAAAAATAACTTTGTTTATATACTTACCTGTATTTCAATCTTTTTACACCGAGTTTCTTTAACTGAAATATTTCCGGTATAAGGAAGTTAGGAGTATAGGCATAAACGAAATAAATTATTTTTATTTCCTATTTCTACTCTTATTTCTTACACATCAAGCTTATTCCATATATTGTAAACTAAATCTTAAAAGCTATGTTTTATGAGTGGTTCAATCTTAACCTATAAATTTTTCATATTTGGATAATATCCTTGTAAAATTGGGAAACAGATTTAGGATAAAAAATAGCTAAAGAGGATTAAAACGTTTAAGAAGTAAAAACAGCGTGTTATAAAACTATTTTGTTCTGAGGCAGCGAAACTAAAGACACTGCGACAAAGTTGCTAAATAGTCAGAAAAGATTATTTAATAGATATATTTATTTACAGGTGAAACAATTGATACTGAAGACATTCAGCCAGTATCTGAAATATATTCGGAAGATAGTTTAGATACTGGTCTTGTAAGGAATGATGCTTTAATTCTACCAAATCATCTAATCAACGAGCAACATGTTTCATCTTCTGATACATACTTTACTGCTGAGGAAAATTGTGATACTCCACACAACAATGCACAATTTGAGTCAACTTTTTTAACTGAGAAAACATCTTACATGTCAATTAAACTTGATTTCAATAAATGTATAAATCTGTTCCATAATAAACACCTGAAAGACGAAGAAGAAAATAGTAAGTGATATTCAATGTTTCTATTACTTAGACAAAAATTAAAGAAGTTGCTTTTTGTTACTAAAATATAGGTTATCAAATAGGTTTTTGTTAAAACTGGAATATATAAACTTGATATATTAACAGATTTATTGTTATAGATTTACTGTTACAGATTTATATATGATAGTATCAAAAGAGATTAGAAGATCTAAGATCTGTACATTCTGTAATAGTAATTCTAAAATCTAATAGTCATTACTTGAAACTTATCTGGTGAGATATTTAGATTTAAGCTTAGAATTTGATATAAATTTTTCAGTTGAATCGTGATTACAAGTATAATGTTACATATTGTGTGTGATTCAAATAAAAAATTCGAACCTAACTCTAAATTCAGATTGAGTATTTCATGTGAGACAAGTTACAAGTAACAACTATTAATATAGGACTAAGAGATATGAATCACAATATTAAAGCTAATCATTTCTGTTTAGCATCTATAGAGACTGCAGCCAAAACCAATAGCTGCGAGAGAGTCGAATCGACCGTTCCGTCAGTCGAAGAGTTGTCGTCAGAATCTTTTGTCACATCGGCCAAAAAGAATGATCGACTATTTATGGAAGATCATGAGCACGATTCAACGAACGGCGGGAATACACTAGAAGACATCGACTTTCACGAATTGAAGACGCTTTTGCACTCATTGGAAAGTCAACAAAAACCACTGAGAGAAGCGCCTGTCCAAGAGCGTACACTGAGACGTATGTCTACGTTGTTTTACGTTTCACCGAATGACTTTACAGAGAGATTATTGACGATAATTGAAGAGTCAGTTATAATGAACGAGTCCGACATGCAAGAATTCCCAGATGTTAGTTTATGTCGATTAACCGAGGAGCTGCGGAAAATGTGCAAATTCATAGATAATGAGACTGCGCCAGAATGGCCTGCGTCCCCAGTTATATCAACGTCGATTTGCGCGGAAGGAGACGGACAAAATAGACAAAATAGACTCGACTCATCGGGGAGATCTCTTGGTAACTTTCCGAGTCCGAGCAAGGGCATCACCACACCTTCCGCTACTAGCCGACATATTAATGGTAAAAGTCCCAGGAAGATCTTTCGGCGTACTCCAAAGACCATCTCTGCCGCGCTCAGTAATATCCAGAGTCCATTGTATGACAGTACGAACATGCACGACAGCACGACCACCTTCGAGAGTTTGGAAGCTTATTGCAAGAGATTATTTCCAGATGAATTTAGGTCATCGCCATTGCAGAAGAATCGTTTGCAGTCACCCTTGCAAAACATGAGCGGTATTTTGCACACGTGCGACGCTCAAATGAAATCACTGGAGGATTCACCCAACGTTTGCGGACCATCTCGAAACATCGTGACGTCCACTTCCGACGACACGGTACCTCCGACACGGATTCTCCGACACATAATTCTCACACCTGATAAACGTGAAAAAACCTTGGCAGTTGAAAGAGCGTCAATATCGCCGAGGCAACGCGCGGGACGCAATGTACGTCCTGAGATGATCGAACCAGACGATCTGGAAAGGACACTTATGTATGAAATCGCGAAGAAGAGACAGAGGTGCCTCGATACGGCAAAAGTAATAATGGAGATCGATGGAGATTCGGAATCGCTGGCAGCACAAGGAACACGTCTAAGCAACGTCAACGAGATGAGGTTATCGACAGAGAAAGATGTCAAATTGATGGAGACGCTGATGTCCTGCAAGAAATATAAGGAATATTTGGAGGAGCACAAACCTCTGCTCAATTTGCTGAAACGATCAGAATCTTACAAGTCTCGTTCTACACAAAGCAAAAAGGACGTCCACACGAAGAAGAAAAGCAACGTCGCGACATTGGCAGTACCGAAAACGCCAAGAAGGAAAAACAGCAGGAGTCCTTCACCTAAAACACTTGTCGTTTCGAAGCCGAAGTTATTCATTACTCCCGGAAAATCTCCTGTTATCAATGCGTGCAAAGAAAAGCGCACGTATTTTCCTAACTTGGTGGCCAATCCGCATAAGCAAGAAAAATTGCAAAAAGACTCAAAGAAGGTGCTTAACATTAGTCCGTCCACGCAGAGTATTTGCCGTAGAATGGGATTAAATTACGACAGTGTGATATCGCCGGTTGGTATGTACATCAAAGGCACGAACCCTCATCTGATAAAAAATTTACGACCTAAAACGGACGAGATGCTGTTAACACCGAGGAGAAAGGAACGTATGCAGTCTACTAGTACAAAAGCAGAAATGAAATTTCGATTGTCACCGAAACGACCCAAAAAAGTAAGTTATTATGTTATAATGTATACGATGTTAGTAAATATATGGATGTAATTTGCAAGATTTTTTACGATACATTTTCGATTATTTTAGACAGTTACCTGCACACTAGCACGAGATGAAAATGTTCCCGATAACTTTTTGCATCCAAAAGTGTGTTACAAGCTGCCGTCTCATGTACGCACGGTATGTGCGCTCGGAAACTTCAATTTGTAACGATTCATAACAAATTATTAATCGTACATAATTTTCTGTAGATCAAGGAAACGGAAAGTCGGAAAGTGGGCAGTCGCATGAACGAATTATTACGCTCCACACAAGATAAAGTTGTGATCCGACACGAAGGTAACATATTTACAAGCCCCATAAATTTGTCAATTATTTCTAAGAATATATATTTACAATAAGTACAAGAGATTAATTTTTGCGTCACGCTATTTCAGCTCGAACGAAGACGGTTCAAACGAACTGTATGGAGCAACCTGAGATCCACTACGATTCCGCAGAAGAGTCCGTACATATTGAACAGACAGCACGTAAAACGCACTTCTCTCGTGTACAAAAGGATCACTAGCCGATACTGAAATATTTGTTGAAGTCACTGATGTATTATATAGAATATCAATATGTCTAATGCACGTTAATCTTTTTTTTTTTTTTTTTTATCAGAGCTGGATCAAACTTTTTATATATAAAACGTTGTTTCATTAAATGTGCAATTTTAATTACTTTTTTTGAGTTTTCGATTATTTCACGCTTTCATGTCATATAGTCACGCACAATACTTTATCGTAAGATATTTTATTTCGTGGAATTTAACAGCTTTCTCTTTTTCCCCCCTCTGTTTTTCCATAGAAAAAATAAATTTAATTCATTAAATCATAATTGTAATTGCGATTTAATTTTCGATTCGATTTTTTTCTTCCGCAATATCACCGCAGAAAAAATGACTTGTTCTTCAGATAAAATTGATTTGTCAAAAAATAATGTAGGTATTCGAGATTGTTGTTTTGAGATTTGTATTGTTAGGTGACACAAGAGTTTAAAAAACTCTGAATACGAAATAGGAACGAAAAAAAAAGCGGAGCACTTTTCAACGTTATTGGAACGTCGAATCTTGAAAAGAGAGTGGCTTACGAGGGGATATCATAAAGTCCACCGTAGAAAAACGGCGTTAAATGTGTCTCAGAAAGTGAGTCAGTACGTAGCGATTCTTGCGTGCTATGTAGTTTTCTAAGTCTTGAATGTAAGAAATTTAAGCGTGCGCGTTATCGATATGGCGCGTAATATGCGCCAACAAAATGCGTCGTTTTCGCTATTGGTCTCGTGTCGTACACGACAGGGCCGTCGATTGCGAATTAATAAGATTCGCATAATTTGTGCCAATAACGCGGGCGAATTTTTAAGAAAATTTTTTAATTGATCAGGAGGGAGAGCGGGCGTGTGTTCATGGGATCCGTGCGTCCTTGACACACCGCACTTGATCGAAATCACTTTTTTTATCTTATATAACGTTCTACGCTTCCTTATAGGCACGCTTCGAGTACCACGTATAAATGTACACGAATACATTCGTGAAGCTGACCTTTTAAATTATTATATGTTGTCGCCAATAATACGGAAGTTATTTCTCATACGAGTATGCGACATTTACCACTTCTATATATTTGTATAGATATAATATATAATATTTATATATATATATATATATATATATATATATATATATATATATATAATCTTATAGAAATTAAATAACTCAAACTTAAACCTATATATTTTGCTCGCTCTAATGAAAAATAACATTCGATTCGTACTGCACGTGGCATCTCCAGCACAGATACGAAAATGAAGCATTGTTATCGTGGATGTAATTCTGCGTTCTACTAGAATCTATTGATTCCTTCTGCCTTCTTGTTTCTAAAACACAATAACTCTACAAATATTGATTCCATCTTTTTTCCTTTATTTCGACCTTGTTTCCAGGGTTTCCGGCAACCTGTTGGAAAAGGCCGTGCCGGCAGAATTGACACGGCCCTGAACGGTTGCGCATGGCACGCATTTGCCGGTTGCACACGCTCGTCAAGTCGCTCGGAACCAAAGCCTGGCCATAGTGGGGCGCGATCGATAAATTCGAAGCCGCGGCGTGATACCGGCATTCCCTCGTAATATCTGACAGTCGAAGCCAACCGAAGCGACCAGCCAAGATGCCGGGACCAGGATGCGAAAAGTGCAAAGGTGAGTACATTCATAAGTACAATCAAACGGTTCAATAGTATTTTGACTGATCGTTCGAATCATACGACGATGATAGCGTGATGTTTACCCGATTTTTACTGCTGATTTGGAGATCTGCTCTAAATGCTTAACGTGCATACAGCGGAAAAAAGATGAGCGCTACGCGGAACCGGCACGTCTTTTGTATATTACGCGGGTCAATTGCGATTCTCGAAATCGGACTTTCAAACTATTCCTTTGAGATATATATATATATATATATATATATATATATATATATATATATATATATATATATATAT